CGCCCTGGCACATGCCCGCAGACTCTGCGCCGCTGCGGGATACCTGCGCAAGGAAACCCGGCGCCCCGGAGGCGAGTCACGCTGGGGCGTCACATGTTCTCAGGCCCACAAGCTGTATTGTCAGAACAATCATCGGCTATTTGGGATTCCGGACACAGGAGGCAAGGCACACACGCATCGGTACGCGGGGGCAGGCAGAGATGTGTATGTGCATGTGCGCAAAGATGCCCATGGAGGACACACAGGGTGATGAGCCATGTCATCAGGCTGGAGAGAGAGAGAGAGAAAGAGAAGGCAGGGGAGGCTAGAGAAAGGTGGCTCTTTGCTGCGCCCTTCAGCGGTGCTCCCTTTCTTCCAGCTGTGCATGTGTGTGTGTGTGGGTGGCAAGGGAGGGGGGACTCCTGCCACCTGGTAGGATGACAGCGGGGCGGGCGAGGCCAAAGCAACAGCACTCTGCTCTACTCGTGGTAGGTCAGGTCCAGGGCCTTGGCAATGAAGGCAAACCGGTCGCAGGTCTCGTCGATGATCATCATGGTGGGCTTCCCGGCACCGTGGCCAGCGCGAGTCTCAATGCGGGCGATGGCCGGGCCGTGGCGAATGTCCGAGCCCTGGGTGCCGGCATTCTCCAGAGCATGCTGAAGGGCAGCGATGAACTTGTGCGAGTGGAGCGGCACCACACGATCATCATGGTCACCGGTGGTCACCATGACCGAGGGGAAGCGCTGGCCCGGGGCGATGCGGATGTTGTGGTAAGGGGAGTACCTGCATTTGGATACGCGAGTTGTTAGGATGGGTTGTTTTTCTCTCCCCCCCCCCGGGGTCGGGGTGTGTGAGAGGGAGAAGCAGCGAGGCAGAGATGGGGCGGAAGGAAGAAAAAAAAAGAAGCAAGGGGGGCCAAATGGCCAGCGAGTAGGGCGCATGTGCTGGGGCAGGGGAAGGCGGCGGCATTTTGGCGTACTTGTAGAGGTACTGGAAGTCCTCCTCCTTGTCCGGGCAGCCGTAATCCGACATCCAGAAGTGGCCGATGGTGAACTTGTGGAAGCGCAGCATGTCCAGCACACCGACGTCGGCCACAGCCGCGCCGTACAGATCCGGGCGCTGGGTGACCGCCGCGCCGACAAGGAGGCCACCGTTGCTGCCGCCGTTGATGGCAATCTTCTCGGGGCTATGGGCCAGTGTAGGGGGGGGGGGGGGGGGGGGGGGGGGGGGGGGGGGGGGGGTGGGGGGGGGGGGATGGCCCGCTGGGGCCTGGCTCAGCC